TGATAATACTTACAAAACATTGTATAAAGGTATGGTTTTGAAATTTAAAAATTGTGTAATGTCAAATTATTGAGGATAATTATCAGCATGATATGCTCAGCAGAAATATGGCACTTGCCTGTTACCCCACCTTGTACTATATATAAGATACTAGATTTCTGTTCCCTGATTGAAATATCTAAAGCAAGCAGATATGTAATCCTTAGGAGAGCCATTTTTTTTTTTTCAATATCCAGGTTTAGGTAAGTGATATAGCACTGTGCAAGCATTTTCGAGCCAAAGTCAACTAACTAAATCATTAAGAGACTCTCTAAAAACAAATTTACCTCTGTTTTGTAATCAACTTTTTATGTTATGGTGACAGAAAACTCATGGAACCGCAGCTTCTACCTAAACATTTTCAGTTCCAACATGTCACATCATAGAAGTGTGTTTTTTAAACCTCTGGTGTGATTTTTATCATTTACTGATTTCAATACAGTAGTATCTCCTTAGAACAGATAAAACCTTCATGCATTTTAATATACTCTACTGAAAGTATTAGACCTTTATCACTATGTCTAGAAAGAAATGTGTATTTGGAGGAATATTTCTTCTTTTCAATAAATCTGCCCCTATTGATGTTGCAGTGCCATTCCTCTAAATTTATATAGCATATTTTTCTATCCTGTCCTAATGGCATTTGTTTTGTGATTGGCCTGTCATTTCCCAGGTAGTAATTACTTTACATACTAATTGGCTACACAGACACACACACACACGCATTCACACATACACATAATTTGCTTGCTTATATATTTATTCTGTATAAACATCCTGATACAGGCTACTTTTTCCTAACAAGTATTTTTACCACCCGTTTCTTAAAATCATGCAGGCATTCATTTGATTCATGCAGCTGGGGATAAACCAGCACTATTTGCAGGCCTCACGCATGCATTTGGCTATGTCAAGAGACATGGTTCAGTTGTAAGTGCATTGAAGCACACATTTACTTCTGAATCCCTGAGTGTTCTTGAGGCAAGCCACAGAGCTGTACTACACTGCTTCACAGATGAAACTCTAAATCAATATTTTTCAGAGGTATGAATACATATAATTATTGGGTGATATTATATCCTGTTTCAAAGGCTATAAAAAGTAGATTTCTCAGATCAGAAAATGTGACACATTTACACATTAAGGATACTTTCTAATACTCTTATTCTCTCTGAAAATCTATGTAAATCGTAACTGCTAACAAGAACATTGATACTCACATATAATATAGCCTTACATGAGAATTTCATGTTTATATACAGGAGCAATAGATTCATATATGTACTCAATACATTCTGTATATTATGGTTTGAGATAAACACATACAAGCTAAAAGAAGACAAAGACTGTAGTATTGAAACAAATAACTTTTTAAGTTAATAAATAATTTTAGTTATAAAGATAATTACAACTTACTGTTATTTGGAAATAGAGGCTAGTAGCTACCACTTCTTTTACTTTCTTTTTACTTTTTCCTCTCTTTTTTTTTACTTTTGTGGATATCTAGTAGTTGTACATATTTATGGGATACATGTGATATTTTCATACAAGCAAGGTGTCACACTCGAATCAGGGTAATTGCGATATTCATGACCTCAAGTATTTATCATTTATCTTTTATTTTTATCATACTACTTATCACTACTTGACATTTCCTTATTTACTATTTTTCTTATTGTCTATATCCTTCTAGAATATAAGTGCCATGAGGGTATGGACATTTTTTGCCCTGTTCAGTGCTTTATCTAAAATGTTCAGAAAAATTCCTGGCACGCAGTACTAAGTAAATATTAAATTATGAAGAAAATAGAACAGCGTTCACAATTTTAGTTTCTGGAATTTTCCAATAGTATATATCATTATTATTATTATGCTGTTTTTTACAGCTATAATATCTATTTTACTTGGTTTTTGTTATTTTTAAACTTTATATATATATGTGTGTATATTTATGTAGCATTATGTTCACATTCTTATATTTTGAAGGAAAAACAGAAAACTTAAAGATGCCTCAAAGAGATAGAATATATAATACATTCTATTCCCCAAAGAGGTAAGAATAAAGATGGAGTGGGCAATACCAATACTAAAGAAAAGTCAGCAGAGAGTAGAGCACTTTTATTCCCGGGAAAGAGAACTACAGAAGAAATCCTGCCTAGTCACTTAGTCGGTTGTTTTCCTGCATAAATCTGTCAGAAGAAAGAATCAAAGACAATGTGTGAAAAAGCCCCACGTATATTACAGAAACATTTGAAAAGTTACTACTATAAGTAGTCAGCAGGGTGAATTATGAGCTTATTTCAAGACTCTAATCTGGTAATGCAATCTCCCTGAACTCTAATTTTAAGGCTTTGATGGTTTTACTCCTACAATTTAAAAAAGAGAAGAGTATATCCAAAATATGCAAAGAACTCTTAAAATTCAACAATAAGAAAACAAACTAATTTAAAATGATCAAAAGATCTGTTTTACCAAGAAAGATATTTGAATGTCAAATAAGCATATGAAAAGATGCACAACATTTATCCATAGGAATTTGCAAATTATAACAACAATAAGATGCTACTATACATCTATGAGAACGGCTAAAACAAAGCAGAACAAATAAACAAAAACAACCCTGACAATACCAAAATCTGGCTATGGTGCAGAGCAACAAGAACTCTCATTCATTACTGGTAGGAATGTAAAATGGTATAGTCACTTTGGAAGAGTCTGAGTTTCTTACAAAACCAGAAATAATATTTTCATATGATTTAGCAATTGCATGCCTGCATATCTTTTGTGCATTTACACAGTGATGAAATATTCCATGTTAAAAAGAAATGAGTAATCAGGTCACCAAAGGATAAGAATAAATTTACATGCATATTGGTAAGTGAAAGAAGCCAGTCTGGAAAATGTCACATAGTGGATGATCCAACTACATGGTATTCTGGAAAAGGCAAACTATAGAAACCATAAAAAGACCAGTTGCTTGCCAAGAGACCAAGGAGATGGGGGAGGTAAAAAGTAAAGCATAGGGGGACTTTAGGGTAGTAAATCTATACTCAATGATGCTTTAATAGCAGATACATGGTATTTTGCATGTGTCAAAATGCTCAGAGCTTTACGGTACAAAGAGTGAACATTAATAAAGAAAACCATTTAGAAAGTCAAGGAATCCCAGGAAAGATGCAGCTTGAGACATGAGAATCTAAGTGTATTGCAAATGTGTGAAATAGCCTCATTGAAGAGGGTCAGGCTGGGGAGATACTGATGTAAATAACTTCGAAAAGAATGAAATCCATAAAGGCAAAAGGAAATTCACATAAACCTGTACCACCGTTGACAAAATTACTTTTCATGGGAGCAGAGCTTCATTCTGATACTGCTTTTTGGGGATAATAGAATTGATCAATTAAGTAAATGGATGATACATGGTGGAAGCTGGGATTCTCACTGCTGAAGTGTGAATTTACAGATAAGCAAGGAGAGGAGGCTAAAATAATCCATGTGGTAAAGAAATTAATTTGAAGCCATAAGTACACGTGTTTAACCTAATACAGATGGTTGCATAGAGAAATACTTTAGATAATCATGCACACACAGGTGAGTATACACATAGGGATTTCTCTGTCCATTTAAATGAGAGGACCTGTAAGAAATGACACACCAGTAGCAATGAGCATGCCTAGTGCTCAGATCTTAGTTTCTCCTAACGTTCTTTAACATAAAATGACCCATGGGACCTAAGAGAAATGGCTGATTATAGAGCTGTGATCGTCAATATACAAAATGTGTCTGTAGTACTTTGTACTTCTAAAAAATTTGAAACACACACACACACACAATTTTGATTGGGAGAAGGTCGAAGGAGCACAAGAGGAAACTAAAGAGCTCCTAATGTCCAAAGTGCAATGCTAGAATAATTTGAGCAACACAATAAATAAAATAGTATTGGATTATAAGTCAACATATAAAATGGATATTCTTGAGTCTATATATTGACAGTAAATTATTGAACAAATTAACAGAGGGAACTCAAAATCTCCCACGCAGAAGAATATTTCTAAATAACTTACGTAGGTCCTCCGTCCCCACGGAGGGGAAGCACATCTCCTCACTTGTTAAATGTGTGCTGTACAAAGTAACTTCCTTCCAGAGCTCAGCACAGAAACAGGATAGAAAAGGGGTCATTTTACAGTACAGAAAAATGACAAACACTTTCTCGGCCAGGTGATAAAGGTCAACATTAACAGTTATACATCACGTTGTTAGTTTGCACTCTTCACATAATGCGATGAATATGGCACTTTATTTCTCTGACCTTTTCCCCCAAACCCATAACCCCAATGCAATCGTGAGAAAAACAAATTCCAATAGAGGAACATCCTACAAAATTCTTGACCACTACTCCTCAAAGCTGTCAAGGTCGTCAAAAGAAAGTCTGAAAAACTGTCATAGCTAACAGAAGCCTAAGGACAGATGGCAATTAAATTTAATGTGGTGTCCTGGATGGGATCTCTTAACAGAAAAAAGGACATTAGGGGGAAAACTAATGATATGAGAATAAAGTCTAGACCAGAGTTAATAATAATGTATCAATATTGGCTGACTAACTGTGACAAATATCTCGTACTAATGTAAAATGTTACTATTACGAGAAACTGGGTACAGGGTAAATGGGAACTCTCTGTACTACTTCTCTATTTTTCTGTAAACATAAAATTTCTAAAAAAATCCAGTCTATTTGTAAATAGTAGGTAGAAAATAAACGTCACTCAGGTAACTGGGATGCTATTTTTGAAGCTGAATAACTTATTTTCTAAAATACTGAGTAATGTTAATCAAAAGATTATGATGCATCGTTGTTTACCCTGTGAGCTCCATGTGACTCTATTCCTGAGTTGATCACCAACTCAATACTTTTTCTTATGTTGAAACTTGCAGAGCCTAATAATGTACCTATTTTCTTTTAGATTCCAGCATTAAGCACTGTGCAGTTTTGAGAGAAGAAGTTATAAAGCAAAACTGACTTGAGTAACCACCAGCCCAACCTTCGGGACTTTGTGGGGATTGCTGTGGCTCCGCTGGACTTATAAGCAATAGTGATGCAGAACCTGCCATCAGCATGTGTAGTGCTTGTCAAAAAATAATCACCCAAGTAATGTTTTAAATTTTACTGGTCAGTGCACTACCAATACTAGTTTTGGCATGGCAGATACTAAATAACAAAGCTTTGTTTCGAATAAATGTTTGTTCAGTTTCTACTTTTTGCTAAATCCTGTGATGATGTGCTCCCACTTGATAGCATGTTATACTGTACTAGTAAATGTTACTTGCTGTTTAACGAAGGAGGATTAAATGAATGGTGTGCTACAGTGGGTATACTGAGAGGAAAGGCATGAGAAAAAACTATCTAAATACAATTGAGGGAAGAAGTAAGTGTTGAAGGGAAGGTGAAAATGTGCACTGAGATTGGATGAGTGAGTAGGACTTCAGAGAGTGGAGAGGGCTCTATGACTTTTTAATGGAAACAATAGCATGAGATAAATATCAGGGCTATGGAAATGCATACTGCACCGGGGCAATGTTTGTAAGTCTGAGATGGCTGAAGAATACGGTTTAGGAAGAGATACAGTGAAAAATAAAGCTTAGAACTGAGACCAACTGTCTCCAGCCCTGGATTCTCAGTTATTCCATTTGAAACCTAGTAATATAAACAACTTGAATGCATTACAAAGGTTTTGATCTGACTTGGGCTTTGGAAAGAGATTTCTGACTTTCTGTAGCTCAAAACTATAAGTAGCTTATATTTCATCTTTACTCCTTTTTTTCTAAAAATAAGGATAATGATACCTGACAGAAATTTTATGAGCATAATGTAAAATTAAACATGGAATCCATGGCGCTTTACAAAATAATGTGTATTGTCTCTCCACAGAATGAAGGAGTATTTGATACTATTAACATAGAAGTCTTGAAAATAGAAAAAAACACTTCTTGGGTGGTGAAAACTTTCCAATATGGTAAAAGTTAATTAGAATTTGTGTGAATTATACTGTATAATTACCAAGGCAAGCACAGTAATATGAATTTAAAATAGTAAGAGTAAGATTAAAGGCATATAATTTAGTTCAAATGTGACATCTTGACAACCTGCAAAAATTGCTAGAAATGAATGGTTCTTAATATTAAGAAATATAATAAGGATTGATTATTTAATAATTTAGATAATTTACATAAGAGTTATTGCAATGTGGGAACAGTGTTCTTGTTAACTGGTTATATTGTGTAGTTATGTTACCGACTACAAAAATTTAAACTAAGGGGTAAGAATCACTTTACTCTCTTTTCATGTGAACTGACATCACTGTCACGGTATTGTTATAGTTGTAAAGCCTAATATTTTATAAAGTAGAAAACATAATCTCTAGGTGTTATGTGGTTCCTTGACTTAATCTAGTCCTGCTGTACTAGCCCTTATTATTATTATTTTTAACCCTGTTTATTTTCCTTGGTGTCCACATTCAATCTTATATTTAACCTTTTAAAAAACTTGAAGTTTTTTTATATATATTATATATAATATACATATTATATATAGAACTCATCAAATGAGTTTTGTTATATATATGTTATAAATATATATGTTTGTATATATAAATATATATGTGAGTTATATATATAAAATATATATATAAATATATGTGTGTGTGTTATATATATATATATATAATATATATGTGTGTGTTTATATAAAAACTCATTTGATGACCTGAAAGCATATACTATATGTTCTGGACTTGAGTTTATGGAATAAAAATTATGATTTTTAGGAAAATGTTATTTTTCTGGCCCAGCTGTATACTGTTCACTCATTCCCCAAGTTAAATAAAATAATTTGTGTTCATTTTGTTTCTGAGTTAGTTTTCATCATATAAAATTGGAATGATCCTAATTTTGACTCCTTAAACAGTGTTAAAGAAATAAACGATGCTATTTTTTAGAAAAAGAAAAGCTACTTCAAATTCCTATGCTTTGCAAGATACAGTGGATCAATATAAATGAGCGAGGAAGTATAGACCAATTTATTTAATGTGTCCAAGGAAACAGTATATTCCACATTTCTGCTATTTTCAAAGTGATCCTGGTTAATTAAAAAACAACCACAACAACAAAAATTCAAAGACTATAAGCCTAACTTGATCCTTCAAAGCTGTAAAAAAAAAGTGTGATTAAATATCCAAACAGAGTTTCTATGTTTTGTTACTGTGGCTGTCTCTTTGATATAGGTGTTACTGAAGTATGTGAAACAACAGAAATTCTTAAATGCATTTAAGGTGGTCTGTGAATTTATAAGGTCTATGAATTTAGGCTAAACACATAACAAATATGCACTGGTAAGCAACAATAAAATACACTTATTCAAGTAAATACAAAGAAATAATGAGAGCTCTTAGGAAGACAAAGAAAAGATGATTGGATAAATTTTAAAAGTGATACCACCAATTTTATTTTTGCTCATTCTTTTATAGTGTGATATGTTTTTTAGAAATCATGTATTGATATTTCTTTAGGATCTCAAATTGGCTCTTTCTTGTGATTTTCTATTTCTGTAAATGTTTAGTTGTGATAGAGTTCTCTACATTCATATATATTTATATACATGTGTATGTGCATGCATATATATATACATGTGTATATCACCAACATCTAGTTTTTTGTTGGTAACCATAACATAAAAATATAGTTTTATATACTTTATATATTTACAATATTAAAGTCTTAAAGTACGTTCTATGTAATAGGTAATATATGCCAAGTCATATTTAATGTGGGATATATTTAATGTATAATATATAGATATGAAATGATAGAAAATGTATAATAATAATATAGAACATATTAGGAGTTCTATATTGTCTATTCTGAATTACATATACAATCTTGTCTTATTTATAATAAACCAAAATAAATGATAATTAAAGCAGAAAGTCCCCTTTGCTTAGATAAAATTCACATGATTTTTTAGGTAAAATTTTATGTTGTTATAAAGAGATGATTTAAGGCCGGGCGCGGTGGCTCACGCCTGTAATCCCAGCACTTTGGGAGGCTGAGGCGGGCGGATCACGAGGTCAGGAGATCGAGACCATCCTGGCTAACACAGTGAAACCCCGTCTCTACTAAAAATAAAAAAAAAATTAGCTGGGCGAGGTGGTGGACGCCTGTAGTTCCAGCTACTTGGGAGGCTGAGGCAGGAGAATGGCGTGAACCCGGGAGGCGGAGCTTGCAGTGAGCCGAGATCGCGCCACTGCACTCCAGCCTGGGTGACAGAGCGAGACTCCGCCTCAAAAAAAAAAAGAAAAAAAAAAAAGAGAGATGATTTAAAAGCTATGGAGTGAGTTAAGGGTCTAATGTCACTCTTGTGCATGGGGATATTCAGTTTTCTCAATACCACGTATTGAAGAGATGTTCTTTTCCCTATTGTGTGTTCTGGGCATTTTTGTTGAAAATCATTGTATTAAAGACCTAAATGTAAGACCTGAAACTGAAATTACTAGAAGAAAACACAGGAGAAACTGAAACAACATGTGTCTGAGCAATAATTTTTTTGTTTGACACCCAAAAGCCAGGCAACAAAAGCAAAAATTAACAAATGACATTTTATCAAACTGAAAAGATTTTGCAACGCAAAAGAAACAATCAATAAAGAAAAGAGGCAACGTACAAAACAGGATAAAATGTGTGTACATTTTATATTTGGATAAGGGGTTAATATCCAAAATATATCAGGAACTCAAAAACATGATAGCAAGAAAATAAATAACCCATTTAAAAAAACGAGCAAAGAACCTGAATAAAGATTTTTTAAAAGAAGACATACAGTGGCCAAAAGATATATTATCCTTTGCCCACTTTTTGATGGGGTTGTTTGTTTTTTTCTTGTAAATTTGAGTTCTTTGTAGGTTCTGGATATTAGCCCTTTGTCTGATGAGTAGATTGCAAAAATTTTCTCCCATTCTGTAGGTTGCCTGTTCTCTCTGATGGTAGTTTCTTTTGCTATGCAGAAGCTCTTTAGTTTCATTAGATCCCATTTGTCAATTTTGGCTTTTGTTGCCATTGCTTTTGGTGTTTTAGACATGAAGTCCTTGCCCATGCCTATGTCCTGAATGGTATTACCTAGGTTTTCTTCTAGGGTTTTTATGGTATTAGGTCTAACATTTAAATCTCTAATCCATCTTGAATTAATTTTCGTATAAGGAGTAAGGAAAGGATCCAGTTTCAGCTTTCTACTTATGGCTAGCCAATTTTCCCAGCACTATTTATTAAATAGGGAATCCTTTCCCCATTTCTTGTTTCTCTCAGGTTTATCAAAGATCAGATGGCTGTAGATGTGTGGTATTATTTCTGAGGACTCTGTTCTGTTCCATTGGTCTATATCGCTGTTTTGGTTACTGTAGCCTTGTAGTATAGTTTGAAGTCAGGTAGCATGATGCCTCCAGCTTTGTTCTTTTGACTTAGGATTGTCTTGGAGATGTGGGTTCTTTTTTGGTTCCATATGAACTTTAAAGCAGTTTTTTTTCCAATTCTGTGAAGAAAGTCATTGGTAGCTTGATGGGGATGGCATTGAATCTATAAATTACCTTGGGCAGTATGGCCATTTTCACGATATTGATTCTTCCTATCCATGAGCATGGTATGTTCTTCCATTTGTTTGTGTCCTCTTTTATTTCACTGAGCAGTGGTTTGTAGTTCTCCTTGAAGAGGTCCTTTACATCACTTGTAAGTTGGATTCCTAGGTATTTTATTCTCTTTGAAGCAATTGTGAATGGAAGTTCATTCCTGATTTGGCTCTCTGTTTGTCTGTTACTGGTGTACAAGAATGCTTGTGATTTTTGCACATTAATTTTGTGTCCTGAGACTTTGCTGAAGTTGCTTATCAGCTTAAGGAGATTTTGGGCTGAGACAATGGGGTTTTCTAAATATACAATCATGTCATCTGCAAAGAGGGACAATTTGACTTCTTCTTTTCCTAACTGAATCCCCTTGATTTCTTTCT